AAAAAAAAAAAAAAAAAAAAGAAAAGAAAAGAAAAGAAAAACCTATAATCCCAGAACTTTGGGAGGCAGAGGTGAGAGGATTGCCCGAGCCCAGAGGATGGAGACCAGCCTGGGCAACTTGGCGAGACCTCGTCTCTACAGTAAATCAAAAAAATTAGCGAGGCATGGTGGCACACGCCTATAGTTCCAGTTTCTTGGAAGACTGAAGCGGAAGGATCGCCGGAGCCCAGCAGGTCGAGGCTGCGGTGGCCATGAGCATGCCACTGCACTGCAACCTGAACGACAGAGTGACACTCCAACTCAAAAAAAAAAAAAGTTGCTACTGTACTCCACTTATTATGTGAAAAGTCCATTCAAAATACTTTACATATCTTAACTCTGTTGACTGTTCCTCATTCCTCATTTCGCATCTACCCCAGATGGAGGGGTCCCATTCCCGCAGCTTTTCTCAAGGGAATGGAGTTTAAAATGCTCTCCCTGAGCCGCGGTGGCTCAGCCTGTAATCCTGCGCTTTGGGAGGCTGAGGTGAGTGGATTGCTTGAGCCCGCGGGTTCGAGACCCGCCTGGGCAACTTGGCGAGACCTCATCTCTACAGTAAATCAAAAAATCAGCCGGGCGTGGTAGTGCAATGCTTGTAATTCCAGCTACTTGGAAGGCTGAGGCGGAAGGATCCCCGGAGCCCAGCAGGTCGAGGCTGCCGTGGCCGGGAGCGGCCACTGCACTCCAGTCTGGGCGACAGAGTGAGACTCCAACTCAAAAATAAATAAATTAATTAATTAATAATAAATAAAATGCTCTCCCTGGCCAGTGCAGTGGCTCACACCTATAATCCCAGCATTTTGGAAGGCCAAGGTGAGAGGACTGCCTGAGCCCACAGGTTCGAGACTAGCCTGGGTGACTTGGCGAGTCTTCATCTCTACAATAAATTTTTTTTAAAAATTAGTCATATGTGGTGGCACATGCCTGTGATTCCAGCTACTTGGAAGGCCGAGGCAGAAGGATCTAAAATACATACATACATAAAAAATTTTTCCTAATTATTGTTAATTTTTTTCTTTTTGAGTCAGAGTCTCACTGTCGCCCAGGCTGGAATGCAGTGGCATGCTTACGACCACTGCAGCTGGGACCTGCTGGACTCAGGAGGTCCTTCCACCTTAGCCTTCCAAGTAGTTGGAAGCACAGGCGTGTGCCACCACGCCCGGCTAATTTTTTAAATTCATTGTAGAGATGAGGTCTTGCCATGTTGCCCAAGCTGGTCTTGAACCCCCAGGCTCAGGCAATCCTCTTGCCTACACCTCCCAAAATGCTGGATTACAGGTGTGAGCCACAGTGCCTAGCCCTATTGTTAAATTTTTTTGAGTTGGAATCTCACTCTGTTGCCCAGACTGGT